TCTTTTTTTTAAAAAAAATTTTAAACCTATTTTTTTCCGGCAAATAACGCGCACTCTTAAATTTTAATCTTTTTTTTGGTATTGAAAATGCACTTTATGCGCCGGATTTTACGGTATGAATAACAATAACTCCGGTGCGAATTACACTGATATATCAAACCGAAATAAAAGACCCATCTGGAATTAAAATTCCATCAGTCCCCAAAAGACAGTCCGAGAAAAAAAATTCCCTAGGTGTCACTGGAAAAGAACGCTGTCAAGAAAAGAGGGCATTTTTGGTGACATTGATCTTTCTGGCAACCCCTGGAGCAAGATAATGGTCGTCGGGAGCGTCGGGTATCAGCTTACGCATGTCTCCCTAATGAGAGAGTTGCCTTCAAAGCGGCCTCTGCTAACGAAGTCTCGTTAAGCGCTTATGAGCTCGTGATTTGAGGTTTGTGTTACTGGCAGGTCTTTAGGGCCCGGGCCCTTGTTGTCGGACCCAAATTGCAGGTGTTGTGTGACGCCGAGGTTTGTCAGCAGATCACTCGGGTATTAAGAAGATGATAGGGTGAGGAATTTTAGGTGCATTGTAGACAGATACATCTTCCTCTCTGTATGTTCCCTCTGTTTATAGCTGCTTTTCAAAACGATGCGTCTATGTATTTTCTTTCGTATAACAGGAAACAAAGATGCGTTTCATCCATAGTTAATTTCAAAGATTTTTTCCTTCTTAATAACCAGGTTCATTTTAATTTTATGTCTGTATTAAAGTCGTATTAAAACAAAGTCTATGTACCGTATTTATTCGGATCTAAGCCGTCATCGAATCTAAGCCGCATCCCAAATTCTCAACAAGTTTTTGTGCAAAATAGTGTAAAATGGCTTATCGACATCCAATTTTACGAAATTAAAATAAATTTGAGAACTTCTAAGGAGTGAATAATTAGTTATTTTACTAGTATTATGAACTTTTAAACCTGTAATTGCTGTAATTGTCCCATCTAACGAATATCTTTTTTCCCTCCGATTCTAAGCCGCACCCGATTTTCAGAAGGGTTAACAATGGAAAAAGTGTGGTTTTTTAAAGACGGTACGGTAATAAAAAGCCGGTAATTTATAGACTTTTAACTATAATAACTAATTCTGGGCTAGAAAAGAAAAAAGAGTGTAGCTTTCGTCGGAAACCATTTCAATAGAGACAAAAGCCCAAAAGGTTTAAGTGAGTTCCAAAAAATAATCCCCCCCCCCTCGTCTCCATAGTTACGAAAATATAGTAACAAATTTTTACTGAAAGAGAGTAACATTGAATTCTATTATACTGTAAATAAGAATAATTTCTCTAAAGTATATAATTTAATGATTGAATGACTGAATCAATTATTGATTGAATAGAAGATTTGAGTCACAAAATCACAAAAAAATTTATCAATTGCGTGAGTGGCTGGGATAATTTCTGTAAGATTCCCTGTTTGACACAATGCTTAGATTTAAAAATACAAACATACACTTTGTAGACAAAGGATTTTTATTTTTCACTCTCTAATAGCAATTAAACAGAAATTCCTAGTCTAACTTTCGTTATAAAATATTATAATGTTGTCTATGAAGTGATAAATTTGAGTGTCAATGTTACTCAAAAAGCAATAATGAAGACAAGTTAATAAACAATGGTGAACAATTAATAAACAATCTATAAGTTCAACTGGAATGAGTTTCGAAGTCATTAGGTTGAAAAAAATTACTTCAGATTAGTTATTCTCATTTTTAATCACAGTCCAGAATTGTTTAACCTGTCAATTTATTTATTGTAAGCTCTATCTCAACTTTGTGTAAACTTGTATCTAAAAGGTAACACAAAAACGAGATATCCATAAGCAAACTGTGGCCGCAGTAGCCAAGTGGTCAAGGCATCGGATTATGGCTAACGTGTCTTGAGTCCAGTACCACTGAAGACCCACCGTATAGGGGAGCGATGCACGTTAAATCTGTCGAGAGCTCAAACGTCCTCCCATTGATGTGGTGTGGTAATTAGGAGAGGGGGCGACATTTGAGCATGGTTCAAAATTACGACGTCCGTCGTCAAAAGCCGTCGTGTAGCTGAACAGTGCGACGTTAATATTCACTCACTCCATAAGCAAACTTCCCCGCTGAATAATCGTTACAACTGTGAAGAGAACTTTCCAGTGAGTGACAGACCTCGAAAACCTATAAGATTTTGTTTTTGTACATTTATAGAAAATTATTTGAATAACTTCCCTTATATTTAGAAATGACACACATTAACTTATTATTTTTTGTTTGTATACTAGCTACCTGATAAACAATCAAACAAATTTTTTAAAAAATATATTTATTGCAGCTGCATGTTTTATTTATTTATTCTTATACCAAAATACTTTTCTTTTTTATATTCCGAATGCACTAAAGCTGTAACATTTTAATAAATTGACATGATGAAGACAGCAATTACGTAACATTAAAAAATCCAGTAACATAATTTTTAATTTTATTTCGATTGTTTATTTCTTTTTTTTCTTTCTTTACGGACTGAATTATGTATTCACTAACTTTTTTATTTTCTTAAAAAAATATGTACCAAATTTAAATCCTTTACTCAATGTTAGATCATACACATAAATGAGTATAATATGCCTGAAAAATATATTGGGTCAATTATATTTTAAGTTAAATTAAGTGTTTTCTTAAGTTTTGTTAAGATTTTTTTTAATTTAGAACCTTTTTTGATGGGAGTATAGAAAGAGAAAATTTGAAATAACTTACATTTTTTTACGTTTGTAGCTATCTTGATTAAAGGCATTTAAATAATTAAGCAAATATTTCAAATAATTAAAACAGGCAATATTTTTATCATAAGTATTGAAATATTAGAGTATTTTTCTCTTCAAAAAGTTCTGCAATGAAAAGAAAGTTCGTATGTTAATCCTTTTGTACCTATATATGTAGGATGTTGTATATATATATTTTCTTTGTATCTACATACGTTAATAAGAAGCTGAATCGAAACTTTAATGTATCTGAAGTACTTTTAAATAATTATTATAATTTTTTAAATCATATTATCAAACATTACAAATTATTAACATAGTTTTATAAACGCTATAGTATAAATTCCTATAATGTTCTTTGAAAGTTTTGCTCTAACTTTAATTTAAAAATTTTATAAATCTTCAAATAATGCTTAAAATATTTTTGATCAATAAAACTAAAAAATAAATTATTTCAAAAATACTTCATGTAAAAATTAAAAATATTTTTAAAAAGCAGAATATGTTTTTAACATGTTTTTTGTTGTTTTTTTATTTTGCATTTTTAAGTTTACATTTTTTGCAATTAAGTTTATGTACTATTTAATATTAAAAGTTTATGATTTATTTTCCGTACACTAATCATAATGACAAAATAAATACAGATACGAAAAGTTAAGATTTCAAATATTTTAACAAAAACACCTAACACAAATTTGATGCTTTGCTCCAAATTCCAGTTCTCAACGTATTCGGAAACATAAATATTTATGCTGGTATTATAAGGTTAAAAAGGGAAAATAAAACATGGAAAGTCACAAAATAAATGTTGAAGCTAAATTTATTCATATATTTTACACTGAATTTTTAAAAAAATAACACGAATTTTCTTTCACTTATTAAGAAGTAAATATTTTGTTATACTATAAATTTATCGCCCAACGTTATTACTATATTTCTTCTTTATTACATTTATTGCCATTAGGAAAATCCAAAAATTTTATCTTGAAATAATTCTTCTTTGTCTAAAAGTCTTCACTCATCAACTAAATCCTTGTCATTCAATTTTTACCAAATATTTATATTGAAATGATCTAAAAAATGCAGATAGAATTGATTCTTAACTGCAAATCAAAATTCTATTTTATATTCGGGAATAACAAAACAAAATAACTTATTTTAAGAATTTGATTATAAAATATAATTTAACACAGTTCCCTTTTTAAACTTAAGTCACGAAATTAGTGTTACTGTCTCTGAAATATTACCTCTGAAGGAGCAAACTAACCTTACAATTCTTATGCTCCTTATCATTCTTCATAATCATCAACCTTCTGCTCTTGAAAATAATTAATTACGACTTCCACCTCAGCAAAGCACACGTTCCCCGTCCTTACACACATACGTATAAGATGGTTATCAAAATCCAATAAATCCCCCTGGCGCACGTAACCCTTTATCCTTTCCTCTCTTGAGCGAAAAAGAAATCGACGCATCTCTCATTAATCCAACCCAAATCCCTCCCATGTGAGAAAAGGGTTTAAGGGCCAAAATCAGATCCAAAGTGAGTTAGCGCACTGAAAGGGCGGCCAGAGCAAATTTGGCGCTAATGCTGGAATAGAAGGGGAGATTTCGGCCCAATTAAGTTCCTACTTAAATAAGTGCGGTGCTCGGTACTTAGCTCTGTTTTTACGGAAAGACACTTTCAGTGAAAGGATTTAGGAAGGGTTGGTTCATAGGGATATTTTCTTTCGTTTACTTTATCTCCTTCATTTCGCTAGGGTGTAAGGTTATTCTAAATCTTTTAGATGTTATGGGGACTTGGTATTAAAACTCATCTACGTTTTTAAAATTAGATTTTGCTTTTTTTTATTTTGGTGGATATGCCAGGATCTATAAGAAATGTTTTTAAAGGTTTTATGCAAAATAACACAATAAACTATTCGAGAGTTGGTTTGAAATAGATTTATATGATTTGGAGAGTTTAAATTTAAGGATATCCTTATCATTGCGTATAATGGTTACAATCGTTATTTTGGGTTTATTTTTAATAGCTTACTCAACATGTGTACACACATAATTCTTTTTCAATTCCTACTATTAGTTCACTTTCTCCCTTGTAGCGAATGACACTTGATGCTAATAGAATTTTTTCAAATATTAATTCATTAATTAAGTTAAAAAATGAATAAATAGAAACAATAAAAAAATAATAGTCCAACAGCATAAATAGAAAGGAAAATTGTTCATCGTGTCCCTGTAGCGCAATGGATAGTGCTTTGGACATCTGATACAACGGTCGTGTGTTATCGAATCCCACCAGGGATGGCCTTATTTCTGAGAATGTGATTTCTTCTTTACTGTACTATTTATTAGAATAATTAAATTTAATTAATGAATAAATAGTAACAAACAAACAAAAATAGTCCAACACTATATATATAAAGAAAAATGGAAAATTGCAAGGAAAATCGCTTTTTATTTTGCTATTTAATATTGTGATTCTGTCATGTATATTAATTGTAACTATTTAATAAAAAGTTAAATAAAATTTTTCTTTGAGGACCTAGTCAGGAATTGACTTAAAACATTTTTTATATTACTTGTTATTATCAAAACATTAAAAATTGACTGAAATCAAGGATAGATTAGTACTAATGATGCTATAGAAATGCTTGAGAGTTTGGGGGGATGGATTTCATAAATCTGGACTAGACTATGTAGCGATTTGATACTAATTTACGTTGCACTTTGAAGCAACACGAGGGCTATTAGAGACGGAACTCGTACTTTTGACCATGGTCAAGCGATGCGGACAAACCTCCACCCGGCACCACTTTCTTCCCATTTCCGCACCACGTCAACGGGAAGATTTTGAGCCTCGAGATATCTAACATGTGTGCATCAGCTTCTCTACATATCGGCATTTCTGTGACACCAGGGCTCGAACCCAAGACTCGACAATGCTGGCCTCATGTTCACGACCATGATCACCCCGATACCACGGCCTCAAATCATGTAATGAAGACAACATATGAGGTAATAATTCCCTTTCTAAATTCCATATGACATCTTCATGGGTGAAGATTTTAAAATACATGTTCTATATAACTCGCAGAAGCTCTCATTATTCCGCAAGATGGATTATTGATAGTATCAGGACTCAAACTCATAGTTCGACATAAACACCGCTTTCAATGAAGCTTGTGAAGCCACTCCGTTGTAAACCTAGGTGGAAAAAAATCTTTTTTCCTTTCAGCATGAAAAATTTAGTCAAAATAATGAAATTGTGTAGTAATTCAATTTTAATAAAATAAGGGCAGTTACTTAATTTATTCATGCTTCACATACTAAAATTCTTGTAATAAGTGGTAGATTCTATTGCAGGGGTAGCCAACCCGTTTCACGGTGGAGTTGTAAGAGTGGCACGTGGAGACTTATAGAAAAATTTGAAAATATAAAAAAAAATTAAATTTTTTTATAGGTTTATTAAAATGCGGTTATTTTAGATAAAAAAAACTCTCACAATTTATTTTAAACACAATTAATTGAATTATAATAGAAGATTATCATACAAGTCCGTTACTTGAACCACTAGGCTACCACGGCCTCCCAAGCAAATCTAAGAAACTTATTTCAAATCAAGTGATCCAAATTATATTAAATTTTCGAAGTTTGAACCGACAGCCAATTTTCCAAATTCATACAATGTGGCTGTCAAATATTGTTGTAGTTTTGGATCAACATATGTTTGTGAACAGATGTCTTCTATATTACGAATACAATAAAATCATAATATCTCTCAACTGATATACACTAAAAACAACCTAATTTTGTTCGCAGCTTCAAGAACTAATCCTAATATAGATGACTTGGGGGAAAAAACTGTAAATTCAAAAGCTACAAATTGCAAGTCCTGACAGTTTAATTATAAATTAGAATTAAATGTTTAAAGTTACTCATTTTTATTTTATACCTAAAAAAGTTTATTAAAAATAAAGTAAAAAATTTGTTAACAATAAAATCTACACATTTATTATATTATTATTAAATTTTCTGTACTTAGACTTGCATAAAAAATATGTTATTTACGTAAATATCCCATAAAACAATAAGTAACATTTTTCACCTTTTTTTTATACATTTTGGTTTGTTGGAAAAATTGGCACGTATAATGATTTATTATAAAATAGTGGCACTCTTACCAAAATTTGTTTAGTCACCCCTGTTCTATTGTATACATATATTTCTAAAATTTATAGGAAAAAAACAGTGATGTTTATTTGTGAAGTATATATTATTGGATTATCAATTTATCTAAGTAAAAATTATTTACCTTATTTATTCGTCATAATTTAGGACACTTTTGGTATTTTGCTTCGATTTGTTAAGTACTTTAATTGATTATGACTATTAATTAGCTATAGGAATAAATTTGAAGCAAATAGTTTCAAATTTCCTATCCACTGAAGACCCAGCATGTAGAGAGGCTGATGCATGTTAAATCAGTCGAAGAAAAAGTGGTTCCATTAACGCAGTGTGGAAGTTAAGAGATAGATGTACCAGTTCAAGTGTGTCCTCGTCTCTTAACTGTAGTTCAAAATTACGAGGTCCATCACCAATAGCTTTCTTGTTGTTTCAGAGAGAGTGAGTGATCAATTAACTTTTATAGCATATTTGACGATACTTAACGTGGAACAAATTTTGAAATCAAGATGATAGCTAAATATCTGTGCCTTTAATTGAAACTAAAGTAAACTAATATCTAATTTTTTAAGTAACAAATGTATTTTTTTTAAAATTTTCACTCTACTGGGTTCTTTTTTATCCTTCTCTCTAAATAAAGAGTTACATTTAGGCTCGAGTGAACATCTTAAATGTTTTCAGATCGCGAATTCCTTCGCAAGAACATTTTTTGTACAGAAAGTATCTGAAGAATGAATATTATGATTTTACAGATTAAAAAATAAGTGTGGGGAAGATTTTAGATAACTTTAATGGCAATATTTTGACGATTTTTTTAAAACTCTGCTTGGCTTACAATCCACAAACTAAAAGAATATTCAAAAGCTAGCTGTTTGATTCATTGAATATAAATGGTTTAAAGTAGCTTGATTATTACTTGAAAGGCATTTGATAACTTTCTGTCAACTGTCTGGCTACTTGGAAGAAAAGTATCTCTAGTTACGGGTTACCAGAAAGGCGTGACATTTTCCACAAATATTCTAATTCTTAGAAAAATAGGTCAAAAGATCAACATCCAATTAACAAATTCAAAAAGTCGCTGCTAAAGCAAACTGAAACTATACTTTTGTTCAGTGATCACCAAGCAGTCGATCGCGAGCTACAAATAGCTCACAAGGGAGATTTTTAGTGGATCGCTTTAACGTTCCTGTAGGCCTTTTATAGATATTGATGCTGAAGAGTTCTCTATTATTTTGTCGTGTAGCATCTTGATTTTTCAGAAGACAATGCAACAGTGGAGTTGGTACTGAATTGATTTTAAAAATTTACCTTTAAAGTCGCTGTCTTCAAGCTCTGAAAATATTTTGCCTCTTGTTCCTTTAAGAAAAACACCCAATTTCGGCCTGTGTCGCAAAGTGAAAGCAGTATTCAGCTCTGCATATTTGTGTGAAATTTCTTTATCCAAAATGAAATTTAAAAATAAATGTAAACACTGACTCATTGATGAAATACTTGGACAAATGTACTTAAATGGCAGCCTACCTACTCTTCTAACATTAAAAAACTTATTGATGACAAGAAAAGAGCCCCATTCCTTTCATTAAAGTTATAATAAGCTTGATAAAAAAAAAACCTGTTTTTACATTTCTTGTTTATTAGTAAATATATTTCAGTTTCCTTCCTATGTACAATTCAATTTCAGTTTATTTTTGTTATATAGCAGTGTTTCTCAAACTTTCAATATGTGCGACCCAATTTTCAATTATAATTTTCATCGCACCCCCTCCCCTTATACAATAACAATGTATTATATGCAACAGTAATGTACTTTGATGTTTAATCTACAAAAAAAAAACTACTTGAATTATAAATCTTATAAATTATCGAGATAAATATCAAATTCTGTATAGGTTACTTTTAAGTAATAAATATTTTAAAGAAGTTGTTTTCAAGTAACATAAGTATATCATGCTCCTTTCCCTTGCTAATTTTTTAAATTGTAGCAGATTGCAAAATAATTTTTAATTAAGGAAGTTACCATGTACACAGTTACCCTGATACAGAAAGGCTCTCAACTGCGGAATAAGAAATCTTCATAGATTTCACGTCAAGTGTCGAAATCAAAAGGCAATGTAGTAATAAATCACTCTTCGAATTTTGGGCAGAATGGATGATAAATTTTCTGCATTGAAAATAAAAGCATTTCGTATATATTTCCATTTCCAACTCTAGTACTTATTAAACGTGTTCTTAATTTAGTATTGATAAATTAATTACGAAATACGTTGTGCACTTCTGATACTTTGATAAGTATATTATATCAGTGTAATTTTTTTATTATGCCAGAATGTGTTATGTTTTTTGCTTCCTTTCAATAAATTAATAATTTTTAAGTAATCTTTTATTTTAGACTTTTCGATATGCTCACAGATTGAGAACCACTGTTATATGAGGTTTAATTAAAAGTGATGTTTACTAGAAGTGTAAGTTTATAGGCAATAAATAAATGTAGGTATTTTTTTTTAAAAAAAAATGTTGGCAGTTCTTTTGGTTTTAAAAACGGTACGTTTGTTCAGGAGCAATCGTAAGTTTGGCGATCACCACTTTTGTTTATATTTAGAATAAGATTATTTATCACATGTAATAATCCACAATTTCTTAGATTCGACGATTTTCTTAGTAAATTTAATTTGAAAACTTTTTAAGAGATGGAAAAAATGCATCTTTTTTATTTATGTTTGGAATAAAACATTGAACACTCAACCAAATACCAACTGGAAGGCTGGCAATAACATTTGGTGGAAAACGTAAAATAATTGCTATAAAACATGAAAGGTCATATCTTTAATATGTAGCATTCAGATTCCTCCTGTCGAACATATTTTAAAATGTTACAGTTTTTATGATGAATTATGAGAATTATTCTTCGCATTGAATGAATCCATATTAACAATAAACAGAAAAAGAAAAGAAAACCATACACAATGGAAGAAAAAACAAGCCGAAACAAGATTAACTCCGTGGAGATCACTTAACAAGTCAAAGAGTTAATTCCATTCATAAATAAAATTCCAGTAGTCGCAAACTGCGGGCAAAACTTTTAAACCTCATGAAAGGCTTTCTTTCACAATTGCACTTTGGAA